GAGCCGCATGCGGCTCTAGAGCCGCGGGTTGCCGACCTCTGTCCTAGGCCTTTGAGCAGGCCCAGGTAGGACTTTCATTTAACCATGTTTATGGAGGTTTTCCTGTGAGGCTTATAGCTTGGGCTATGACCGTAGGGAATGATGTCACTGACAGCCCAGTATGACCTGAGGGTGAGTGGTTCTAGCATTTCATTTGAATTTGCTGGTTCGGACAGTTGTCACTGCCTGAGGGCATGCACTCCCCTCAGCATGGCGGAGTGGGTATTTCGTTCCCCATAGCGTCGATGACGTATTGTTGAGTTCCCTTCGAAAGGGAACGTCTCAGGTTACGACTGTAACCTTTGTTCCCTGAGAACAGGTAACGAGACAATACGTCTCCCTGCCATGCCTCGGGGCCCGCCTGCCGTACAGTCCCTTCAGACGATAAGGTGATTTGTCATGTTTGCAAGGCGCCCTTATATACTTCCAGGTCGCACGTTAATCATTCACGTTAATGATTCACGGGCTGTCGCCGGTCAATGTGATTGACATGATTTGATAGTGATTTCAGACACCTGTCACGCCTGGGGCGTTCCCCATAGCGTCGATGACGTATTGTCTCGTTCCCTGTTCTCAGGGAACAAAGGTTACAGTCGTAACCTGAGACGTTTTTAATTCCAGTGGTACTGGTGGATTTCCGCGGGAGATTCGAACATGTCTTTGCGTCATTACGTCACATCTGTACACATAAAGAAGGAGTCTCGGCTAGTAGGCTATATTGCGTGTGAGGATGTTGGAGGTGGAGATTTATGGCCTTTACTCATATCACTTATCAATTTGATGGCAGATCCAGAAAGGTTCAAACGACAATCACCAGTGACAACTGGAGAGTCACCCATTGTAAAATGCAAAATAATTTGTTCGGACTTCGGAGTGGCTACAGAAAAAAAGAGACTGCAACCGGACCCATGCAAAAACAAGGAGACATATCGGAAGGACATTACATGTGTCACACTAACCACGGGGACCAGAATTCAAATCAACAGACTTTATTTATACACAGAGCAAATCCAGGGCAGAAGAATAAACGTAGAAAACTCAAAAGATACTTGTAGACATTAAACTTGAACTCAAGCACGAATTCCTAAATGCTCTCAGACAGTCCTGATATCACTCAGATGAGCATGGGATGTTCTCACTGACAGTCCTTGGGATATCACTCTCAGATGCACGGGGAATTCTCATACAGACAGTCCTTGAATTAACACTCACGGATGCACGGGGAATTCTCATACAGACAGTCCTTGAATTAACACTCACGGATGCACGGGGAATTCTCATACAGACAGTCCTTGAATTAACACTCACGGATGCACGGGGAATTCTCATACAGACAGTCCTTGAATTAACACTCACGGATGCACGGGGAATTCTCATACAGACAGTCCTTGAATTAACACTCACGGATGCACGGGGAATTCTCATACAGACAGTCCTTGAATTAACACTCACGGATGCACGGGGAATTCTCATACAGACAGTCCTTGAATTAACACTCACGGATGCACGGGGAATTTCCCCCTTTGTAATGACGATCTCTCACGTAGACACTGGAGTCATCCCGAGTGAGGGAACACAAAGCCACTCGCCGATAACCTCTGGAGCCAGTGTTACAGAACACAGAAGTAGCACGAGGAAACAGAAACATGAAGTAACGTATAATACCCGGCCGTGAGACAATGGGAGTGAGGAGGTTATAAAGGATCAGCATAGCGAGATCATGAGGTGAAAGGGAACAGCTGCGGTGATGAGGGAAATGAGTGCAGGTGCGGGGATCCAGGGGGAATGCTGGGAAATGTAGTGCGGGACAGGACTAGGGAAAACCGTGACAACATGTAGTCACGCAATGCTTACGTTGTTAACATTAACAATTTGAGAACAAAGTATAATTTGCACGGTTTTGCGTGATATAATAACTTATAAGCGATTGTTAGATTTAATCAGCGTCATTTACTGCAATGTCAGAACCAGAACAAAAGTGGATGTTTCTTACTAGTTCAGATGACATTTTCCGATGAAAATTCTTATGTTGGGTCATACTTCCAAAAAGAATAATCTGTGATTCTGAATGCCAGTATCCACATCGGCGCGGTAATTGACAGCTGCACACTCTCCTCAAACATTGTGTTCATCCGCGCTGTGCGGTGTTGAGGGTGTTGAAGTACAACTCACGTAAAGTTGATAATTCCGCGAATGACTGCAATTGCAGATATCGAACAGAGATGGCGACAAAGAGTAAAAACGCCGGACTGCAGCTTTAATGTAAAGAAACAGTGCATCTGTATTCATCAATACAGTATTACTTTATTTAAAAAAGCATCTTGCCTCAATCATAGATTTTTCCTATAGGCTAATGATTTGCTCAAACTGTATGATTTGTAGCACTCTGAATACAATTTCATTGGCCCTTACCTTTTAATGTGTGGTTTATATTTGTTTCCTTGACCTTGTCATCATCCCGACAGGGAAAACTGACCTCATGACCCCATTACAGTATATATTTGTTTTATATAATGTAGTAAAATATTATTTTATTCAATAATTTTATTGATTTTCTTAAGTAATCTTGGATAAAATATTTTAAATTCAAGTTTAAACAGATTTTTGTTAAATTGACTCTATTAAATCACTTTCAACTCAATATTGTTTAAATAACGTCCCAGTGTCTTTATTCTCATATTTATCTTAAAGGGGGAAATAGAATGTGGTGTACATGTGTAATTGTTTCCTTTAGAAACTTGATAATTAATGAGAAAATTTAACTCTAACATAAAGGGCATCTAAGCATAGATATGGATAAAGGGCATCTAAGCATAGATATGGATAAAATATTTTAAATTCAAGTTTAAACAGATTTTTGGTAAATTTACTCTATTAAATCACTTTCAACTCAATATTGTTTAAATAACGTCCCAGTGTCTTTATTCTCATATTTATCTTAAAGGGGGAAATAGAATGTGGTGTACATGTGTAATTGTTTCCTTTAGAAACTTGATAATTAATGAGAAAACTTAACTCTAACATAAAGGGCATCTAAGCATAGATATGGATAAAGGGCATCTAAGCATAGCTATGGATAAAATATTTTAAATTCAAGTTTAAACAGATTTTTGTTAAATTGACTCTATTAAATCACTTTCAACTCAATATTGTTTAAATAACGTCCCAGTGTCTTTATTCTCATATTTATCTTAAAGGGGGAAATAGAATGTGGTGTACATGTGTAATTGTTTCCTTTAGAAACTTGATAATTAATGAGAAAATTTAACTCTAACATAAAGGGCATCTAAGCATAGATATGGATAAAAGGCATCTAAGCATAGATATGGATAAAATATTTTAAATTCAAGTTTAAACAGATTTTTGTTAAATTTACTCTATTAAATCACTTTCAACTCAATATTGTTTAAATAACGTCCCAGTGTCTTTATTCTCATATTTATCTTAAAGGGGGAAATAGAATGTGGTGTACGTGTGTAATTGTTTCCTTTAGAAACTTGATAATTAATGAGAAAATTTAACTCTAACATAAAGGGCATCTAAGCATAGATTTGGATAAAAGGCATCTAAGCATAGATATGGATAAAATATTTTAAATTCAAGTTTAAACAGATTTTTGTTAAATTGACTCTATTAAATCACTTTCAACTCAATATTGTTTAAATAACGTCCCAGTGTCTTTATTCTCATATTTATCTTAAAGGGAGAAATAGAATGTGGTGTACATGTGTAATTGTTTCCTTTAGAAACTTGATAATTAATGAGAAAATTTAACTCTAACATAAAGGGCATCTAAGCATAGATTTGGATAAAAGGCATCTTAGCATAGATATGGATAAAATATTTTAAATTCAAGTTTAAACAGATTTTTGTTAAATTTACTCTATTAAATCACTTTCAACTCAATATTGTTTAAATAACGTCCCAGTGTCTTTATTCTCATATTTATCTTAAAGGGGGAAATAGAATGTGGTGTACATGTGTAATTGTTTCCTTTAGAAACTTGATCATTAATGAGAAAATGTATCTCTAACATAAAGGGCATCTAAGCATAGATATGCATAAAAGGCATCTAAGCATAGATATGGATAAAATATTTTAAATTCAAGTTTAAACAGATTTTTGTTAAATTTACTCTATTAAATCACTTTCAACTCAATATTGTTTAAATAACGTCCCAGTGTCTTTATTCTCATATTTATCTTAAAGGGGGAAATAGAATGTGGTGTACATGTGTAATTGTTTCCTTTAGAAACTTGATAATTAATAAGAAAACTTAACTCTAACATAAAGGGCATCTAAGCATAGATATGGATAAAGGGCATCTAAGCATAGCTATGGATAAAATATTTTAAATTCAAGTTTAAACAGATTTTTGTTAAATTGACTCTATTAAATCACTTTCAACTCAATATTGTTTAAATAACGTCCCAGTGCCTTTATTCTCATATTTATCTTAAAGGGGGAAATAGAATGTGGTGTACATGTGTAATTGTTTCCTTTAGAAACTTGATAATTAATGAGAAAATTTAACTCTAACATAAAGGGCATCTAAGCATAGATATGGATAAAAGGCATCTAAGCATAGATATGGATAAAATATTTTAAATTCAAGTTTAAACAGATTTTTGTTAAATTTACTCTATTAAATCACTTTCAACTCAATATTGTTTAAATAACGTCCCAGTGTCTTTATTCTCATATTTATCTTAAAGGGGGAAATAGAATGTGGTGTACATGTGTAATTGTTTCCTTTAGAAACTTGAAAATTAATGAGAAAATTTAACTCTAACATAAAGGGCATCTAAGCATAGATATTATTAAAAAAATTAAAAAAAAGATTAAGGCTACATATGTTTCCCCTTAAAACTGTAAGATTAGGCCACATCAAAAAAATATATATATATTGACAATACATTTTCTTGTAATAAAAATGCATAATAAATTCAAGAATTCTCTATTTATCTACACCAAACTTTAACAATCTTTTGTCTTATCTCTTTGGTTTGTAAACCGTATACTAAGGGATTTAATCCTGGTGGTACAATGTGAAACATTACACTAGCTAGTTTTCTGCTTTCAGAGTAATCAGGAAAACGATGAAGAAAAATAAAAATGCCTCCAGAAACGAACATGATTAAATAAACAGCTAAATGAGTGCTGCAGGTTTTTATGGCTTTGCTATTGAGTGCTTTGTTTTTGTTTCTTATACATAGAGTAGCAATTTTGACATATGTTATAAATATAGAAACTGCTGACAGGCAGGCTATAATTGTGGTATAAACAACTCCAAACACGTTATTAATACTTACATTTTCACATGACAGTTTGAATAGTGAGGCATTGTCACAAAAAGGGTTTTCAATTGTTGATCTGCAGTGAGACAGCCGCACAGTGAGAGCAAACATAATTGTCACCACAAGTACTGATAACCCCCAGGCTGATGCTGAAAGTTTAACCACCATTTTATTGGTCATTATAGTCGTGTATCGCAATGGATTACAAATAGCTACATATCTGTCAAAGGCCATGATCATCAGCACATAGTGGCATGCTGCTGTAAATACATGCACAAAATAAGCTTGAATAACACACTCCACATATGATATATAGCGCTCTGAGGTTTCCCTTAAAATGTCCTGCAGCAAGCGTGGCATAATAACAGTAGACCCTAAAACATCATTAACTGGCAAATTACAGTACAGAAAATGCATAGGATCATGCAGATTCTTCTCTGTTGAAATCAGAAATATAAGTGTAATGTTTGATACCATTGCAAAAGTATAAGCCAAGAAAAGCACAATGAAAACAGGGTAAGAGGACTGATGTGTAACTTTGAGTCCCTCCACGAGGAGAATGCTGTTTCTAAATGTCAGGTTGTCCATTGCTGCTGTACACAAAACCTGAAAACAGAGTAACAAACATGTGTCAGTTTGATTAATAATATAAATTACCTTGAATCACTTAATTGGATATACTGCACATTATAAACTAATGCTCTGGTATTGTTCTGTGGCTCTGTCAATTTTTTACAACATACTTTCCTTGCTGTTACTGCAGTACATGACATGACAATTGTTAACATTGTTAACACAACACAAATGAATAAACTAGTTTACATTATATATGTTGACAATGTACCTGATTTATAAATTCACAAACAAAAGGTTGCCCATGTAAATACATTTCACTAGATAGCAGTATACAGCAATGTTACTTAATAAATGTAAGTGCTGCATCTTGCCTTAGTCTCATTAATATCCTCCCTGTAATGATTTAGTCATACAATGATTTGTAGTTCTCTGTTCTTTTAATGTGGGGTTTATATGAGTTTTCTCTTTCATCAATCCAACGGGGAAAACTGATTCATATGAGCAGAAAGGCTGTTGATTTTTTTTTGTTTGTGGCAACAAGTGAAGTTACGAATTACTAATTGTAGAATATGGGTTTCCTTTCGATACGGTTAACTTGCATTGCGTCAGTTATCTGATGCTTATGGGAAAACTCCTGTTTTCTCCAAATTCTGAAGCCTAACTGGTTCACGTCTGTGAATTTCACAGACAATTGGCATTTCAGCCACTTGTCAGATCTTTCTCATTCAGCGTGAAAATCCTCTCGCTGCTCAGAAGAAAACTGAAGCCCCTCTACTCTCCTCTTCTCGCCATTGAATCGTGCTCTCACAGCGGATTAAGATGCTCTGCAAGCAAGCTGACTCAGCTGAGCTCTGCTACAGCTAACTACTCGGCGCTCGTTGAACAGCTGATCCTCATCGCTCAGTGGGCTGATCGAAGCAGGTGCTCTGCAAGCAAGCTGACGCAGCATCTTCCCTGCTGCCATACGGCGATCTTAAAAGAGAAAAGAAAAGGGCCACACTAAGCTCCCCCAGTGGAAGCGGTCGCTGTACACCACCAACAGCTCTGGGCTGGAAGATGAGGGCCAGTCTTCCATTAAAGCCCTGCAGGACCACGTCAGCACTCGCTTCAAAGGCGTTCGCAGCTAACGGACAGGGCCCATCAGCACTTCACAATATGGCGGTTATACAAGTGTATCAGGCCAAACTTCTCCACAAAATGGACTATTTTTAAGGAGCTGCGCAGCACAACAGACTTGGCCCTGCACACTACTAAAGCCACAGGCCAAGCCATCGGTCATGCCAAGGCCAGTTTAGTGGTGCTGGAACGCCACTTATGGCTCAATCTCACCAAGATTAAGGATGCTGACAGGATGGCTCTCCTGTATTCCCCCGTTGGCTTGTTCGGCTCCGTGGTGGACGGATTCCCGGAACGCTACATAGAGGCTCAGAAGTCATCGCAAGCTATGCGTCACATCCTGCCTAAGAGAGCCAGTTCCACCGCAGCCTCCAGTCGCCCCAAGAAGGCACCGCCAACTCAGCGACCCAGGCCAGTTCCAATATCAACCCAGCCCACAGCCGAAAGCTGAACCGGAAGTTTAACCCCACTTCCGCTCGGCCAAACGCTACCCTTTCCCTAAGCGTCAAGGGCCTTGCCCCAGGCTGGAGTAAGACCCGGTGCAGCCGAAGCAGCCCTGAGGCCTCAGGATGGAGGAGAAAGGGGTTAAGTCTCGCCTAAGCCAGACCACCCCCAAAACATCCCCGTTTACTAGTCCCCTCTTCAGTTCATAGAAAGAGGTTACTCGGTCCAATTCGTTTGCAGACTGCTCCACTTCAGGGGCGTGATTCATACTTCTGTCTCAGACGACAGCTCTCATGTCCTCAGAGCCGAAGTTCAGTCCCTGCTAGAAAAAGACACCGTGGGGAGAGTTCCCACGGAACTCAGCGAGTCAGGCTTTTACAGCCGCTACTTTCTTTGTCCCCAAGAAGGATGGTGGTCTCAGGTTCATCCTTGATTTGAGATGAATCATTCTTGAGATTTGTGTTCGAGGAGGTGGTAATTCCGTTAAGACTCTCTCTAGCTCTGCATATTTTTAGATTGGCTTCCCATAGCCCAGTCTAAACATGAGCTATGCGCCCACAAGTCCCAGCTCTTTCAGGCTTCAGGGTCAATTTTGGCAAGAGCTCGCTGCTCCCCAGGCAACAGATTTTGTTCCTGGGGGTGGTCTTTGACTCTGCTCAGATGAAGACTTGACTCTCACAAGAGCGTGCCCTGAAAGTCAGAAGCATGGCGACCTCGTTCAAAGTAGGGGCTTTCCAACCCCTCCAGAGGTTACAGAGGCTGCTAGGCCTCATGGCAGCAGCCTCCTCAGTCATTACGCTGGGCCTGCTCCACATGCGACCACTCCAGCACTGGTTGAAAGACCTCACCCCAACCAATGCGTGGAGCGCAGGACGATATACGATCAAGGTGACCCACAGCTGTGTCAGAGCTCTGGTCCCTTGGAGCTCTCCCCGCTTCTACCAGAACGGGGTAAGACTGGGCTCAGTTTCCAGTAGAAAAGTAGTCATCACAGACGCCTCCAAGACAGGCTTGGGTGCCCTGTGCGACTGCAAGATAGGCTTTGGCTCATGGGCTAATGGACCTATGTCAAATTGGCACATCAACCGCCTAGAAATGATAGCGGTAGGGCTGGCCTTCGAGGAGTTCCGCTCTGTACTCAGGGGCCATGATGTCCTGGTCCGATCGGACAACGGGACGGTGGTTGCCTTTATAAACCACCAGGAAGGTCTCAGGTTTCGCCCTCTACACAGATTGGCGAGCAGTCTTCTCCAAAGGGCTCAGAAGAACCTCAGCTCAGTGAGAGCGGTTCATGTGCCGGGCATCTTAAAGGGAGCAGACATGCTGTCTCGCAGCGGCCCTCCCCCGGACAGTCGAAACAATATGGCACACCGAGTGTTGTATGGTCGAGTGTTTTTCCAGAAGGAAATGGACACGCTGGCCCTGAGGTGGCCACCCCAATGCCTTTATGCCTTCCCTCCGTGGCCCAGCTTCCGCAGGTCATCAGTTGGATTCGGGAAGAAGCATGTGAGGTTCTTCTGGAGCCCTGGTTCTCAGAATTGGTACAGCTAATGTCAGCAGCTCTGTGGCAAAAACCACTGAGGAGAAACCATCTCTCCCAAGCAAAGGGGTCAATATGCCACTGCAACGGTGGTTTTCCCAACATTTTTATTGTTCAGGTTGGGCGCCAGACAGTTTAAATAAACTGACAAACAAATTGTATCTTCTGTTAACCACCATTAACAAAAAAAGGAAGAAACAGAAATCTTTCACAGGAGTCTTGTAATTTCATTACAAATTTAAGTCCATTCACATTTTATAACAACAACAACAAAAACAAATATTTCAGTCTCTTATGCTATGTTCACACCGAACGCGAATTGAGCATCTGGAGCGAGTGATTTCCATGTTAAGGCAATGTAAAGACGTGTTTACACGCGTCTGGAGGTCCTGCGGCGCGATGGATGCGATTTCGCCTCATTCACGTGTCCAGATCGCGCGAAAGAGGCGAATTGAGCGCCTGGCGCAATACGCGCGAATGATTTTATTTTGTGCCATTTGTGCATTCACGTGTTTGAAGCGAATTCAGTTTTGAAGTGGTGATCAGTTGTGTTGTCCATTGCGATATTTTTCCTTACTCGGCAGTAAGGGAACCCAGGCTGTCTGTGGGAATTTTCCCATTCATTTAAGTTGCCATCGTCATCATATGCACTCCGAAGTCCGCGTGCTCGAAAAGGACGCCAGATCCTGCTTATTCGGATGGTGAGTGGTACTCTTTCCGAAATCGCATATAAAGTAGCCAAAATCAGCATAAATTAACATAGGCTCTGTGTGGTAGCCTATAGGGGTGCCAGTGCACTACTGGGTGGTCCACCAAGTGCTTTTGGGGTCCGCCAACTACCTGCTCTTCACCATAGTCCTCCTCAGTGCCACGGAGGGCCTATTTCGACCCCTAACTACCTTTTCTCTCCTTCATCGCCACGAAGTGCCTGTGGGGTCCCCTAACCACCCAAACTTCACCATAGTCTTCCTCGTGGTCCACGAAGTGCCTGTTTCGACCCCTAAACGCCTGTCCTCTTCTTCATTGCTACGGAGTGCCTATGGGGTCCCCTAACCACCTGAACTTCACCACAGTCTTCCTCAGTGCCACGGGGAGCCTTTTTCGACCCCTAACCACCTGTCCTCTTCTTCATTGCCACGGAGTGCCTGGGGGGTCCCCTAACCACCTGAACTTCACCACAGTCTTCCTCAGTACCACGAGGAGCCTTTTTTGACCCCTAACAACCTATCCTCTTCTTCATTGCCACGGAGTGCCTGGGGGGTCCCCTGACCACCCGAACTTCACCATGGTCTTAGTCTCAGGCCACGTGCTCCTCGAAGGGTGGACAGAGAGGTCCGATCGGCCTGAAACTGACGTATGCGTCCCGTCACGGGCCCCTGGGACGGGTTCTAGAGTTCCGCGTCCCTCTGACCTTTTTTCGCGCTAATTGGCCACCAACAGCCCCATGGAACAAGTTGCACGTGGGCCGTCAAACAAACGGGGGCCAAAAGGGGTCGAAAGGTCGCAGCGGCCCCAAACTCGGCACGGCGGTAGTCCGGGGGCCCCCGGTTCTAGATCCTGGATTTGGTGGTTCTAGATCGGTTCTAAGTGTGGGTTCCAGCAAAGCGGCTTGTTGGAAAGGCCCGATCGGCCCGAAACTGACACACGCGTCTCGTCACGGGCCCCGGGGACGGGTTCTAAAGTTCCGCGTCCCTCGGACCTTTTTTCACGCTAATTGGCCACCAACAGCCCCATGGAACAAGTTGCACGTGGGAAGTCACATAAACAGGGGCCAAAAGGGGTCGAAAGGTCGCAGCGGCCCCAAACTCGACACGGTGGTAGTCCGGGGGCCCCCGGTTCTAGATCCCGGGTCGCAGGGTTCTAGATCGGTTCCGAGTGTGTTTTCAGTTTGACCCTTCGAGAGGGAATGTCAG